TATATACTGCAATATGGCTATCAAAAGAAAGAGGTTTAAGAAGTCCGACAGTCGAAACAATTTTTGTGGAAGGTAGCAACCTGTTTGAAAGTGTTAATTTAATTCAATTAATAAGATTAATTAAAGTTTAGGAAAGTTTACTTCCGAAAATATTTTTGAGGGGGGTTGCCAGCCAAATATTTTCATCCTCCAAATTAAGTAACAAAAAACTCCGGGCCCTCCTGAAAACTAAACCACCCTAACCCTCCGCCCCGATTTATCGTTGAACCTGGTTCAAGATTTTTAAATAAATTTTGAAAATTCTTATCTCCATATTCAATGCCATTCGTCTTTACAGATAATGGACGAAATCAAGCAGGGCATCAAATACCTTTTCCAAACAAAAAACACAGCCACAATGTGCATTAGCGGCTCGGGGCATGCCGGCATGGAAACAGCTTTTATGAATCTCGTGGAGGATGGTGATGTTGTACTTCTAGGTTGCACTGGACTGTGGGGACATCGTGCCGCCGAAATGGTTAAGCGCGTCAATGGTGATGTACGTTACGTTGAGGCGCGTTTTGGACGCTCACTGACCATGAAAGAAATCGAATTCGCCTTTGAGGGACACAAGCCACAGATGTTCTTCATTGCACAAGGTGATTCATCGACGGGTATATTGCAGCAACATTTGAAGGAAATCGGTGAACTTTGCGAGCGTTACAACTGCCTTTTTGTTGTCGATGTGGTGGCTTCAGTGGGTGGCACAGAATTCCTTATGGATGCTTGGAAAGTTGATATGGCATATGCGGGTTCTCAGAAGGTGCTCGGTGCGCCACCAGGCATAACGCCCGTTTCATTCAGCGAACGTGCCATCGCACGCATCAGGGCACGCAAAACTTATGTCAAGTCGTACTATTTTGATGCCCTACTTGTCGGACAATATTGGAATTGTTTCGATTTACCACGCATCTATCATCACACCATCTCATCGACGCTGCTGTATGGTCTGCGCGAAGCATTGGCACAATTTTGCGCGTTGGGTCGGAAAAATGTGATACATCGACACCAGGAGTGCTCACATCGGCTGCAGTGTGGTCTGCAGGATATAGGCTTGGAGATGCTTGTGCCAAATGCCAATGATCGCTTGCCTACGGTGAATACAATTAAAGTACCGGCGGGTGTGGAATGGCGCAAGGTGGCCGAGTACGCGATGAGAAAGTGAGTAGATATTGAAATTCGAGCGGCTTATAACTAAGACAATATTGACACTAACTATGTATTTATTACTATTTTTTTTTGCAGATACAACTTGGAGATAAGCGGCGGTTTGGGACCCACAGCTGAGCAGGTGTTTCGTATTGGGCTGATGGGTGAGAATGCCACATACGAGCGTGTGGATCTGGTGCTTAACATTATGCATGAAGCTATACTAAGCACGAAATTGAAAGATAAATCAAAAATCTAATATATGTACTTCGTATTGCTATTAACAAAATTTAGCGTTTAAGATATTATAAAGTGCAAAACTTTGCATAAACTGTATACACACTAACTAGGGTTGATTAACTATAAATACTTATGTACCAGTAAAATCACACGCATTCAAGCTCGAGTGATAATTGTTACATTTTCTTAAATAAATAAGATAAGAATTTTGTTAATATGGAGCTCTTATAGGTCATGGACGATATTGCCAAGAATTTGTCTATTCCACACAAGAATGCCTGTCTACGTTGGTTGGTTGCTTCAGGTGGATTATCACCCTGGTGGTAAGCAATTAGCAAGTTTGCCATTTTCATTCCACAACTCGTGGAGCTGACACCCATGTGGCGGCACTAATGAATTTCAGTACGCCTTATAGAGAGAGGGGGTTGCACTCTGAAACATTCTGCAGGAATGGTTTGCCGAGTGTCTTTAGCCTCATCCGCATAAGCCGAGGGCTGAACCATATACAACGCGTGGGACACATTCCGTGCGGAACCGCACCTTGCCGCCTCGTCCTCTACCTCGCTTCCGTAAATGTCCCCATGTTCCGACGCCCATATTAGGGCTATTTCGTATTGATCAGAAGGCGAGGTCAGCTTTCTCCCAAAATCATCCACTAGTTGAGATCAGTGGTTGGGCTAAGTATGTCCGAACCTCTTCCGCGAGTTGGTAGGGACGCCTTCTGACGAGTCTAGTAGGTGTGGATTCTGCTTCCAGCAAGTCTCTGTTCGGTTAGCTGCTTCTTTCTCAGCATAAAAATATGCACCCTAACGGGGAGTATTAAAGCCCCGCTAAGTAGTTTTGACTGCCCATTTGGCAATTGCAGTTGTGTGCGCGGACAAGGAGAGCAAGCTGTTAAAGGAAACACCTAGAAATAATGGATTATTAACTGCCAATATTGCAGCTTGACCTCCTTGGAAGTAGTGGTAAAAAGCGTTGCCGTGCAAGAGAGTAAAACTCCGTGCGGGGAGAAAGGATGTAGATCGGCTAAATAGCGGTATACTTTCAAACAATGGTTATCAATATCGAGCGATCGTCATCGTGTATAGGGATGCAAAATTTGATACATCGATGTTTCGATGCATCGGAGAAAAGAACATCGAGGCTAAAATACATCGCCAGAGAAACATCGATATATCGATGGTTTCCGATGTTTTGCAATTTGTTAATTTCTAGTCAAATTTAAAGCAATATTGAATACTTTAATAATTATGAATGTATTTTCCTGTATTTTATTATCCTTTCTATACCCTTTCCATTATTAGAATCAAAATGCATACCGTCGTAAGGTCATTCGGGCCTAAAGATCCTAGGCCTGATCTTGTTGAAATTCTAAGGGGTGTTTGGTTCTGTTTTAACGGCTAGGTTATTAGATTCAGAATGAATCCAACAATTTTATTGAACTTGGGGCCGTTTTTATGAAAAATGTTGTGGAAAAGCAACATTAATTTACAAAGGTAAGAAGTTATAGCTGCTATTTGGGAGATCACTACATCTACTAATCAGACTTCTTCAACCGCGGTCACTGAGGAGATGTGGTGATCTCCGAAGTAGCAGCTATAACTTCTACCTTTTGTAAATTATTGTTGATTTTCAATAACATTTTTCATAGGAAACGGCCTCAAGCTCAATTAAATTGTTGAATATAATTGTTATAAGGCCATAAATAACAAAAAAATTCTGAAAGAATAATAAATCTAAGGTCAGTCAAACATACCGAAAGAAAGTCGGAGAGTCTCCTTACTTCGATGTTTAAGCCATCGGTAATACTTCCATCGATGTATCGTCAATTTCGCGATGTTAGTAAATTGTAAAAATCGATGGCAAACATTGAAAATTTAACCGATTTAATCGTGTAAGATCTAAGAAACTCCCTCGGGTGGTTACCACCTTATGCTAAATTGTTCTTGGCTTCTAGGTTTTCTTCGAAAGAATACTGACGACTGTCGGCCACTCAGATAAGTCTGCGTTCATCATTTTATTCTTGGTCTTAGAGAGGTGGTCTCGGTGCCAAAAACTTTCCGACAGGTCCCAATGCTACTAAAACGGCACTCTCACAGCGACGAACAGGTTAATGCCGCAATTATTTAAGGTGTTAAGTGCTGTAATAGTGCCGTGCACATTGTGGATGTGTCTTTACGAGTGGTGAACATAAATTTGACGGCAGTTTGCCCCGGCTTAAGTAGTGGGGATACTCTCCCTGATTTCCACAATCAGCAATTATGAGAGAAGTCATCGACAAATTAAAGATTCTGGTGAGGTATTCAACTCGCGTTGGTCCAAAGTTTTAAGGCATCAATATGGATAACCAGTCGGCACCCAATGGCTTTGGTGACTCTTTCCTTCCCGATAACTACTTCATATAACTGGCACACGCACCAGAAGTAGGTTGCTGTAAACGATGGCTCAAGCGATTGGTACCATTTACACGGATCACTTAGGGAGCTTACGATTTGTAACATTTTAAGTGTAAAGTTGCTATGTAGATAGATAGATAGATATATAGTTGAAGTAAGCACTGCGACCAGTAGGTCTATTGTGCTCTCAACTCATCACAGTACCTCACCAACTTGCTACTTAGCAATCTAGCACATACTTTGTTGCTTTTCCAACAACAACAAAATGCGTTGCCAGATTGCTAAGTAGCAACTTTACACCTAAAATGTTTCTCATCGTGAACTCCCCTACTGATCCAAGCAGAGTTAGATCGTCGCCCAACAGCTCTTGGTAGGGTAAAATCCTAATCATTGCTGTACGTAGATACGGCTTTCGTAGGATTGAAATCATTTTCATTTTGTTAAACGATTTCTATAAATCTTTTTTTTTTAGAGGAAATGTGGTACATCAGAGGAGGTCCCTTACTAATTTGGTTTACATCGCCCCATTGGATCATGAAGAAATTAACGGTACTCTTAAATTTTTATATGATATTGGAAAATGGACAAATAAATAGTTTGGGAAAAAATACTAAGGATCTATTTCATGTATGGAATTAACAATAACAACCACGCTGCCCAGTTTAAATATCGGCAAATCAGCTATACATCGATAATGCGGGTTCGATGCCTGCTTAAGTCTAGAAAAAAGAACTGTGATGAGGAGGGCTGGTGATCTTCAAAATAGCTGCTATAACTTCTATCGCTTAACTCATTAAACGCGAAAGCAAAAGAGGAAATTGAGAGGAACCAAATTTTGGAGCACACTAAAAGAGAGGATATGTTCAAAAACCCATCATAAAAAGTTTCGACCTCTATAAAGGGTTGTCTGTACGACCTGAAACATATATGTAACACTCGTGAATCTTTGTTATGTAATACAAATTTTAATAACAACAATATCAGTCCACGAAATTCGAACGTTACATATATGTAACACTAGCGTTTAAAGAGTTAAGACTTTGTTGCTTTTTCCATTTTTCCTAATAACCAATCGTGGTACAAAGCTCAATATCTAGCCATAAATTTTAAATTTTTTGATGACCAACCATCAAATTCTTAAAAAAAAAAACGCAAGAAAAACTCATAAAATTTTTGTGTACAAAAAACATTTAATCATTATTAATTGATTTACATACATATGTACGAACGTAAGTAATATGCCTTAAAAAGCTTACATACATTATTAACTTTTTTTCTATTTTAGAGGATATGCAAAGTTGCACTGCCACATGCAGCTTACACATAAATACATATGCTACATACAAACAGCTGCAATGTGCTTCAATAACAATAAAAGTAAGTATATACTTTAGTTCAATATATAAATTCTCGAATTGGCGACAAACATTTGCTGCACATGCGCTTGGAATACTTTTTGTTTAATATACATACATAAATATTTATTATTTTTAATTTTTTTTTTGTTAATTACTGATTTTCATTGCGTTCATTAATATTGATACAGGTAGGCATGTTAAGGGAATTATAAACGTTTTTAATTTTCTTTATTATTTATTTAAATGCAGGCCACTGCTAAACGTATAAACATTATCTCCATCTAACCATTCATTACCATACGCACAAATTCTTCATAATTCACATTGCCTTGTGTGTCCTCTTGATTGGTCATTAGCTGTTCGACCTCTTCATCGGTTAACTTCTCACCCAGCGTAGTTAGTAGATGCCTCAATTCAGCTGATGAAATGAAACCGCTGGCATCTTTGTCGAAATGACGCAAACCTTCAATGAAATCATCGGCAGTATCGCCAGAACGCGCCTTGGAAATCGCCTGATAGATAGGTAAGAATACTTCGAAGCTAATCCGTTCGTCAGGCTTCAATTGGTGAGTGCATTTCTTTACATCCGATTCAGTGGGATTCTGACCGAGTGCACGCAAACATTCGCCCACTTGACTCAGTTGGATTTTACCATCACCGCGATTGTCGAAGAGGTTGAAGGCCTCTTGGAATTCTATAATGTTGCGAAAAAAATGAAACCAATTTAATTAACTCAATGTAAAGGAAAAGCAGACACAAATTACAAATAAATGCAATAGTTTTAACCTTCCACTGTAGTAAATGAATTTTTTGTTGGTGGCTCGTAGATGTACATTGCAAATGTGTTAACTTTGTTTGCTTCACGTTTGTTTAGTGAATTAATTTTTTATTTGCGATCAATAAAATTTTGCAATACTAAAGTGTTGTGTTGCATGTTACGCGCAGCCAACGAATGAAATGCGCAAAAGTGGTTTGGTGATGTCCCACCGCAAAAAATAATTGAAGGTGAACTTGAGCGCTTACATATGTAGGGGCTGGTATTAGGCGCGTAGATGGAGAAAAAAAACACAATTCCAATATGTCAAGCAAAAAACGAGTACTTTGGTCTCTTCGAGTTCGAGATAATTTAACAAACATTTTCAAATATACGTACATATAATAGTATATACAAATAACTGAAATTTGATGCAAACATATTAAATTACATTGATATACATAGTTTGTAAAATTTTACTAGTTTTTCGCTGTGCAAGCACCCTGTATAATAATTTGCTATCATTGCAGTTTAGTTATTTTATCCATATACGGTAAAACATGTTTTTCCATCGAGAATTGCCTTTTTGGCTGCAGATAGACGTTGTCGAGTACACCCATTCCCCCAACAACAGTCGTCATAAATGTTGTAACTACCTTAAGAGTGATGTGAGTAAACAATTGGAGGATGGCACAAATACGCATGTATGTATGTACATTAGACTGCAACACTCCCCATACAAAAAAAATAAAAATCGGTACTCTTATTCCATTGGAATTATAAAACCTATTATATTTTAAGACGTCCCCCAAAATATTTCGGAAAAATATTAAGATTTACCTGAGCTGGAAATGAAAATGAAATACCTCCAAAAATGGAGCTTTTTATGAATAAAAATTGCATCTTAAAGATTTTTTTTTCAATCCTCTCAAATGACAAAACGGTTTAAGCTTAAAATATTTGCACAAAAATATTTAAACAAATTTTCAATGGAATCGTAATTAGGAGATTTTTGATGCAGTTTTTTTAACTTTTTTCAAAGACTGGTATAAGATAAACTTTAATAACTGAACCTAAACTACTCCGATTAAGACTTGTGAGGTATCAGTGGAAAGGTATTTTCCCACCCTTTTTATTTCTTTGCTAATAAACTTATTCAAAGGATGAAAGAGAAAGCTAGGATGAACGAGCATCATTCCAAGATGAATTAAGATGTGGTGGCATATGAAAAAAAAATTTGGACACGAATGACTTTTTTTGCACAGAAATAAAAATAGTGAGTAAATACCTTTCTACTGAGACCCCAGAGAATCAGAATAGTTTTGGCCCAGTTATTCAAGTTTTTCGTAAATCTATCTTTGAAAAAAGTTAAAAAACAGCATCAAAAATCTCATTATTACGATTCCGTTGAAAAGATTTTTAAATTTTTTATGCAGATTTTTTAAGCTTAATCTGTTTTGTCATCTGAAGGGATTCTTTTACAAAAATTTCTTTAAGAAACCATTTTTGTTCATAAATAACTCCATTTTAGCGGTATTTTCAAACTTGTCCAGCTCACGTAAATCTTAATATTTTTCCGACATATTTTGATGGACATCTTAAAATATAATACATTTTTTAATCCCGGCGGAAAAAGCGCAACTGTTTTTGGTGATGCAGTCTAATACATAAATGTACATATGTACATACATGTGTTTGCTTTATGTAGAGCTTTACCTAAACTTATTTTATAGCTTTGTTTTATATACATATAGATTTTTCATTGCATTCATATCTACATCACATAATATGTGATAATATTATATGTACTATGTACGTATATACACATTTTCCACATAATTTATAACACATTGTCATTTCCTACTGATTGTTTAGAGAACAATGGACTTGCTGCTATGGGGTATGTTTGTCAGATATGATGTGGTCATAAAATATGTACATACTTTAAAATTCCTTGCAACTGGAGTAGTTGCGCCAAAAACTTCAGCGCTTGTATATTTGGTGGTGGATTTTTCAGTTATATTATGTAAAAAATTTACTTTATTTCGACTCTATTGACGCAATATGCCTAGACATATAGTACTTAATTCAAAAAAAAGAAAAAAAAAAACGTTTATCAAAAGCAGTGATAAGAAAATGCTGATTGGATTGAAACTAAAATATTGCATGCGGTTGCTAATAATATGCCTATACATACATATACAGACCTTTGAAAAATAAGGTAAACTACTATTCTACTAAATGATTTTCTGTAGTCAAACAACACCGGATGATTCCGTTTTGTTTAGCCAATTCACACTGGATGATTTGTTACCATTAGTAAATTTATATAAAATGATTATATATATTTTTTTCATAAGTGGCGATTTAAAATCCCTCTTGTGGTTGTTGTTGTAACAGCATACAAATTCCTCAAAGAGATTTTGGGAGTGTTGCTGGAGTGACAGTCCTTGGCCAGATATAAATCTGGGTCGTTCCGGTTACGTAGACCCGACTTTCTTGGGAACGTAAAATCCCTCTTCATTTCCTTTGGGTATGGTGTGTCAAGGTTTTAGAAATAATATGGCAAATTAATAAAAATATCCTTTGAAAAATTATTTGTATGTATAAGCTACGGCATTTAGTTGCCATTTACAACTATAGTTAGTTGTTGCATGCAACATAAAACGTACAACTTGACCATAAAATCATTGAAGGCAATGCATATTGCATTGGAAATCGCCCAATAAGGCAAGAAAGCGGCTAAACCTTGACGTACACATGTATGAATGTACACACATGTGTACATTTTCGCTGATATAAATAAGCAGCACAAATAGCAATTTAATTTCATTCCAGCGTTAACCAGATAGCTGAGTACGAAGAATACTACAATCAATTGGAGCATAGCCATAAAATAATAAATTTTTGAAGCGAATTGTAATAAAATCGTTGATTAAGCAGCAATAATGAGTACAAGAAATTATTTCAAAGTTGGCAAATTTATAATCGAGGCTATTCGAATAGTTTAATATTTACTTATTGCCTCAAAGCAAAATGGTGTCCACTTATTGATAGCGTCATCGACTGGCATTTAGTGTCACACGTACACTGTGTGGACACTTTGCTGCGATATCTTTTGGAGTTTTTTTTTTGTATGCTTTGTGCTGGTTAAGTACTTTGGTTTGTAAAGCTGTTACTCGTCCAAAGAAAAGTGAGTCATCAGCCACAAAAACAACCGTGGTCCATATGAAAATGAAGTGCAATGCATTGTAGTATTAAATATCGTCACACTGGAATTTCTTTTACACGGACTGTTAAGGTTCGTGACACAAATATATGTCCAATTCCTGCATCTTCTATCCAATCCATAAAACACGCCAACTACTATTTACTATACTAAAAAATGCTATGAGATCTTCTTTGTTTTCTCTATTTTACTCACCAGCCAATTGGTCTTCACTGAAGTTGGTCTGAAAATAATTCGAGTATGTTTAAAAGTAATGGAAAAGTGAAAATAAACACAGATATTTACCATTTTATATATTTCAAGAAAGTAAATGAAACCCCAAAAAACTGTAGAAAATTTTATACACGTCAAAACCGCTCAGAGTTCTTTTTTGGAATGTGTCAGTGACGAACGTACTTGGCGTTGCCAGCAGTGTTGCCAGAACTTTTTGGGCCGACCGGCTAGATTGGCAAAAAAAAACGGCTAAAAACGGCTAAAATGTTTTAGTGAAAATCCACATGCTTTATTTAAATAAATCGCAAGAAACGAAAGACTAGTTAACACCATTAATTTATATCGAGTGTATATTCCTCATCATCAAATGAATCACTATTGTATATATACGGTGACCATAAATATGGATTCAAAATGAAGGACAATTTTTCAAAAATATGCCTACATATATTTACGTAGTATAAAAATATCAAAAGAGTATTTATGATTCTTAATTCTTAACACATTTTAAACTTTAAAAATGAATCACGTTTTCTTCATTGATATTAATCCTTTTTTACATGAATATTTATAAAAGTATAGTAAAACATATTACAATTACAATAGCTTACACGAAAAGTGAAAATCTTTAAAAGATTATTTTATGGCAAATTTTTAGGCGTTCAAAACGAAAGCAATACCCTTCTTTTTTTGTTTTGTTTTTGGTACTGTTCGCAGTTATTTGTCAAAAATCGACGTCATGAATCGACGTAAACGACGAGTTAGAAAGTGCCCTTTACAAAAATATATAACTTGTGCAGATTGCGCTCCATAGCATTTACATTTCTAGTCCGATTTTCATTATCTTTGGCTCAAAGTTTACTGTAATGATATATCTTCTTTATCGAATTTTTAAACTAATGAAAAAATAATCAAATGAATCTGTGTATTTGATTGAAAATCTCACTTTTTTCGCCTGTAGCACTAATAATTTTCATTGAAGTCGCCACAAGTTATATATTTTGGTAAGAGGCACATCAATACCCTTCGAGCTGTAAGGCGCTTACGTTAATTTGGAGATTTTTTCATGAGATATTGAAGAAAAGCTAAGAAAAGTACCAAAAACACTTTTTTGAAAAAATCCATCCATTGTCCGATAATTTTAAAATAACGAATAAAATGCGGGACAAATACAGGACACTTGGAAAAAATCAGTACATTTTCGGGGTTTTCAGGTTTGAAAAACTACGCAGGACCGACCTTTGAAAAACAGTACGGTCCTGCAAAAAACAGAACGGATGGTCACCGTATGTATATATCACCTGAATTCATTAATTTTAAGAGATCGTCATCTACAGTAAAATTATGGCAGCATTTTTCTTCACGTTTTAAACCGTATCTTATATATAAAATAGCGTTTAACGTTTTAACGCACATTGGATTTCTTTGCTTAGTTTTTATTATATTCATTGAACTAAATATTCGCTCTACTTCTGCATTACTTATAGGCAAAACAAGAAAACTAAAAACTAGGTTGCAAAGGTCAGCAAAAGGGTTTTCTCCTAGGGCATTTCGAAATTGATAAACTTCGGCCCAAAATTTTACAGTTGAGTCTAAATTACTCCAGGTATGTAACGTTAACCGTTGCCATTGCATCTCTATGGATGTTATTTCGTCGGCATTATATTTGTGGTTTTGTTGCTGTAGTTGAACAAATTCTTTTGGTTTAATTACTCTTAATGCATTTCCAACCGAAAAAAGTCAATTTTTTTTAGTGTGACAATATTTGTAGGGAGGCGTTGGCGTAATTCCTTTATTAAAGTGATAATAAAATAGCGACCATTTTCTCGAATTATTTTCTCGGCTTCGTGGTCAAAAGCGTTTGTGCTTTTGTTTTTAAATACTCTTCAAAACTGTGATAAAACTGAGGACATGGAGCAAGGTATGGTTCCAACGGGGAGCATATAGGATCAAATTTGTCCGCCCTAATAACCACTAGGGAGCATAGATCCGAAAGTAAAACATTGAGTTCATTAAAAATCTTCATTGGGTCTGCATTATTGCTTTCGAACAACTTGTTTACTTTTTGCACCTGAAAATTAGGCAAATAGTAAAATCGGCTAAAAAACGGCTAACTTTTTTTTACAAACCGGCTAACAAATCGGCTGCCGGCTAGATCGAATTTTCTCCGGCTAGTTGCTATCAAAACCGGCTAAATCTAGCCGGAAAACGGCTAAAATGGCAACGCTGGTTGCCAGTCTCTGTAGGAAACAAACGTTACCATATCATTTTTATTTGATGTGTAAATTTTATGAGATTTACGTTCCTTCCATTTTTT